GAGGGATCCCTCCTCTGTTGCTCTCCCCAAGGTTTCTTACATTTTCACCAGTGGCGAACCGTCAGGGCCTTCAAGGTATTCAGAGAATACCCTGGAACACTCAGATAAAACTAACAAAAAATCGATTTAATTATATAAATAAAATATATATAAAATGTAAATAAAATGAATAAATGAGAATCGTATCTGTGTTGTTGATCTGTAATATTACAGTGTTACGTTGATTTGCATGTCCTTCTCGGACCATGCACTACGCATTTCAGTGGTTTTGTGTTAGAAAAGAAAGCAACCAATCAGATCTTGTTCTGGGTCTCTGGGTAGAATATCCTTCAACCAAGGTATTCTATATCCTTGATAGAATGCCCTGGCCGTTGCACTGAATGAGAGCGTACATTTGAACTGACAGTTTGATCAGCCAATCATATATTGATTTGTAGCCAATGGGCGTGTTCTTTCAGAGTTTCCCTCGGTTCCAGGGTACTCGAGAAGGCCCGCTAGTTAACTGGCTCGAGACAGAGGATCTAGATGAATGTGACGAAGCAATTCATGCCGTTTTATTGTTTTTAACGTTGAAATGGCAAGTGCAACAGGTGAAGATGAAGTTGTTGCGGAATTGTTGTGAGTACCCTTTTCAAGACGACAATTCAGTGAAAAGACGGACATTATAACCCCGGGCGGCGGCGGCGGGGGGTGTGTGTGTCTACAGAAGGTCCAGTTGTGATAGACACGGTTCGCCACTGATTTTTGCCCAGACTTCTCCACGGTAAACTGTGGGGTTTCTTTGGAAGTTTTTCCTTGTACGATGTGAGGGTCCAAGGACAGAGGGTGTCCTATTGTCGTATTGATATTCTGTACAAACTGTGAAGTCCACTGAGACAAATGTAACATTTGTGATATTGGGCTATATAAGTAAACATTGATTGATTGATTGATTGATTGATTGATGGACTGATCAGTGATTGGTTTGTTGTTAATTAGTAGGAGCAGCTTTTACAAAATATGAATAAAAAGCTATCAGCAATAAGCGTCATGCTAATTTAATCATGAAAATGGTTTGTCATTGACACGTCGAAAGGCTTTTAAAATGGCTATCATAAGAGTATGAATTAATTTACATATAACTAAGGACAATTATAGCCAGTTAGAGGTTAGCAGTAATCACTCTCGTTCAAGTTAAACATTGATTCAAAATGAAATACGAATACAAAATAACTCAAATAAATTGTGTCTGTGTGGGGGGGTCGATGTGTCTTTGTTCAAACTTAATTGTAATCGCTTCAGTGAGAGGAAGTCAGTCACTCCGTTGTTTACCTTGCAAATACTGAGCTACTGGGACCTGCAGTCGCTCAGTCTGTAGGGACTTGGCTTGGGAACTGAAAGGTCGGCTGTTCAAGTCTTGATTGGACCAAAACATAAGGAGTCTGGACTGGTAGCTGAAGAGGTGCCAGTTCACCTCCTGGGTACTGCCAAGATTTCTGTGAGCAAAGCAACGAACCCCCAACTGCTCCCTGGCGCCTTTGTAAAAAATGCATGTGGATTATTAAAGGGTCATCTTCTCAACTTGCTTTTGGCTTGTTTTGTTGCAAAGTCTAGCTGGCTGTGTGGAACCTCTGCTTGCACCACCAGGAATATTCGATTGGGACACGTTGATCCTTATGCTGTAGTGTAAACAAATGGAGAGAATATTTGACAAGTTTATTCACGCACTGCAAAACTATAGTTGCCAATCCTTAGCCTGACTGATAAGACAGCAGTGTCGAACACCACCCTCAGGAGAGAAGGTGACAACCAAAGCATGTAGCATGATGAGGCACTTTGGTGTCTCACCAGGTGCCAATGTTCAGTAATGGAGCGTGCAACACATTACCATAAAGACAAAGTCCCTTGTCTTTCTGTACTGCTTTAACCTGTTGATATTTCTTGCTATGTTATACAGTATATATATTTTGCTTTATAGATCACCATTTCCAGTTCCTCATTGTTGCATATTTTTCATCAATCATTAAGAACCATTTATAAACCAGTTCTAACATAGTTTTCATACATCAACACAGGCACACTATTTGGCAAGATGACTAAGCCTTATATTGGCTACTTAGCGAGAATCAACTCAGTGAACAACAAATACCAAGGATGCTGACTGATGAAGAAGATGAAGTAAGCTAAGTAGCCAATATAAGGCTTAGCAGTACAGATAAATGTGGGCTCACGATTTGGCAAGCAACCGGTCACAGTTGCCCTGTTTATCTCATGTCTTGTCAAAGCTTATTAATGATTTATAAAGTGTTCACAACCTAATTAATAGATTAATTACAAACTATTCGTAAACCCTTTATAAGGGTAGTCTTATTGTAAAGTGGTTCTTTACAATAAGAACATAACTTCAACGTATATACACCAATATGATAATGCAAACAGACATACAAGTTATGGGAGTGATTTATTTCAGGATGCAGGTTCAGTGCATTAGGCTTCCTGATTAGGACACACAATTGTTTTAATAGCAACAATTTAAAGATCAAACAAGCCCATCAGAAAGAGAAAAATAACATAAGAAAACCAGTGTGGTCAAAATTGCATGGTCGTGCCATCAGGTGTGAAACGTTCACTAATATATTGGAATATCATAATTCCTAATTACCCCTTTGTTATGGTTAAGGGCACTGATACATGACGACACATCACTAGAGAACTAAGAACAAGTTGAACATGAACAAAATATGTACAAAAGATGAATTAAGGTGTAAATGAGAACAAGGCAAGGCAATTTATTTGTATAGCACAATTCATACAGTGATGCAATTCAAAGTGCTTGACAGGATCAAACAGATAAAACACAATACATTTTGACGATGGTCAAAGTGAGAAGAAATACAAACACACACAAAACAATTAAAAGAAAGAAAACCATGTTTAACAGTTTGAAAATTAGAACATTTAAATTTAAATTGAAAAAGAAATGTTTTTAGACCTGATTTAAATGATTCTAAAGTGCTAGCCATTCTCAGACGTTCTGGGAGTTTGTTCCATGCATTAGGAGCATAGATGCAGAAGGCTGCTTTCCCACGCTTTGATCTCACAAATGGAACAGTGAGCTGGCCTGCGCCTGAAGACCTGAGGGGTCTGCTGGATTCGTACCGCTGAAGGAGGTCCTTGATATATTTGGGTCCTAGCCCGTTTAGTGCTTTATATGTGTGCAATAACATCTTAAAATCAATTATCTCACTCACTGGAAGCCAATGCAGCGATCTCAGCACTGGAGTGATGTGATCTGTTTTCTTTGTCCAGGTTAAGACTCTGGCAGCAGCATTTTGAATTAGTTGGAGTTTATGGAGTGTATGGAGTTGGAGTGATTTTTTTGTGAGGCCTGTGTAGATGCTGTTGCAGTAGTCAAGCTTGCACTGAGGTCCAATAGAACTAAAACTGTGGTATTACAATGAATGTCATTTAAAATCTTTAATAAAACCGTCTCTGTGCTATGACGAGACCTAAAACTAGATTGGAAGGTGTCTAAAATGTTATTGGAGGTCAAAAAACTGTTAAGTTGTAGGTAGACAACCTTTTCAATTATTTTGCTTAAAAATGGTACATTTGAAATTGGCCTGTAATTACTGATTGTCAGTGTATCAAGGGTGTTCTTTTTTAGCAGTGGCTTAATAACTGCAGTTTTCAAGCCCTTGGGGAAGTCACCTGAATGGAGGTCTGCTGCTGATAGCTTATATTATCTTAACTTAAATCGATCGTTTTACAATTCTTGATCACGGCAGCTACCTGACGTTGTACTCACACGTTACTACAGCTTAAGCACTCACAACTCTCCTTCTCTTAGCAACTGTAACTCCACAGTTGCTTACACTCCTTTCGGGTTTGCTAACGCCCGGTAGCTACTTTAGCTTGATAGCTAGCCATGGCTCTTTCCCCACCCTCGGGTGCTATTTCCTGCTCTACCTGTCTCATGTTTGGTTACTTCCCTACCTAACACTAAGAAAGTGGATCACATCACTCCAGTTCTGAAGTCTTTACACTGGCTTCCTGTGTGTCAAAGAATAGATTTCAAAATACTGCTGCTGGTTTATAAAGCATTGAATGGTTTAGGCCCAAAATACATTTATGACCTACTGCTAAATTATGAACCATCCAGATCTCTCAGGTCTTCTGGGACTGGTCAGCTTTCTATCCCCAGAGTCAGAACTAAACATGGAGAAGCAGCGTTCAGTTATTATGCTCCAAATATCTGGAACAAACTCCCAGAAACCTGCAGGTCCACTGCAACTCTTACTACTTTTAAATCCAGGCTGAAGACTTTTATATATATTTATATTCATATCTTAAACTGCACTGTACCTTTTATTCATGTATTTTTTATTTTAATGTTTATTTTATTATCTTTGCTTTTTAATGACTGTTTTTAAATGCCATTTTCTTAATGTCTTTCATTTTTGTAAATCACTTTGAATGGCCTTGTGTTGAAAGGTGCTTTATAATTAAACTTGCCCTGCCTTGCCCTCGCCTCGCCTCGCCTTGCTGCTTAGCATAATACATTGTAGCAGTGGCATGCATATGACACTTTAGGGCCTTCTCAGAATTTCACTCTACATTTGTCTTTCTAATTATCTACCTGTTCCACTACACTTTGCCTTTCTAATCCACTACACTCACTCTCATCTCAAATTAGCTCCAAGGCCACAAAGCAGAGAATCTTCTGCTCATATTGCTGGTGGAGGATTGCAGATGTGGTGCCCTAAACACTTTAAGAAGCCCAGGCCATGTAGTTTGAGGTTGAAAGAATCCTTGCAGTAAGCTCTTTACTTTTACTAAGTACATCCAAGTATCACTGATTTACAATATTGTAAAGCCCAGGACTGTGTGAATCATTGTTTCCAATTATGGAACCACCCTGGCACGAACCAAGAACCTGAGAAGCCGGTTTGTCTCATTATATATAAAAGCTCAGACTTGTGCAGCCAGTAGCTACTACACCACCCGAGCAGAGAGGGAGAGTCACTGGGAGCGTCGACACAGACAGATCCTTTGCTTAATTTGTTGGCCCTCATTCCGTCAATCCCTGCCTTGCCAACGAAACTCGGAGAAGGCAGTGAATCACTTCATCACAGGTAAGATGTAATGCTCCTCTAAATGTATGCTGAAATAAGAACAGACGTGCTACTGAAACGGAAAAAAGTGAGGGTTAACAGCAAGGTTTAAATGTGTCTGTGTGTGTTTTTTTTCTTCCCACAGACCCTGAAAACTGCAGTCATTAAACCGCTCTTAAAAAAGAATAATCTAGATGCTTCAGTAATGAACAATTACAGGCCCATATCAAACCTCCAATTTCTAGGTAAAATCTTTGAAAAGGTTGTTTTTCAACAGTTGAGTAATTTCTTGCATTTAAATAACTGTTTCGATGTGTTCCAGTCAGGCTTTCGACCAAACCACAGCACTGAGACTGCTCTTGTTAAGGTCTTCAATGACATCCACTTAAACACAGACAGTGGCAGAACTTCAGTGTTAGTATTATTAGATCTCAGTGCTGCGTTTGATACTGTTGACCACAACATATTGCTAGACCGACTAGAAAACTGGGTGGGACTACGCTCCAATTCAAACACTGAGTAAGTGCATTGAACAAATCAATGATTGGATGTGTCAGAACTTTCTCCAATTAAACAAAGATAAAACTGAGGTAATGGTTTTTGGAGCCAAGGCAGAATGTATAAAAGTTAGCGCTGAGCTTCAGTCTGCAATGTTCAAAACAACAGATAAAGCCAGAAATCTAGGTGTAGTCATGGACTCTGACCTGAGTTTCAACAGTCACATTAAAACAGTTACTAAATCAGCCTACTATCACCTAAATAATATTTCTAGGATTAAAAGACTAATGTCACAGCAGGATTTGGAAAAACTTGTCCATGCTTTTATCTTCAGTAGACTCGACTACTGTAATGGTGTCTTCACAAGTCTCACTAAAAAATCTATTAGAAAGCTGCAGCTGATTCAGAACGCCGCTGCTCGAGTCCTCACTAACACTAAGAAAGTGGATCACATCACTCCTGTTCTGAAGTCTTTACACTGGCTTCCTGTGTGTCAAAGAATAGATTTCAAAATATTGTTGCTTGTTTATAAAGCATTGAATGGTTTAGGCCCAAAATACATGTCTGACCTACTGCTATATTATGAACCATCCAGAACTCTCAGGTCTTCTGGGACTGGTCAGCTTTCTGTCCCCAGAGTCAGAACTAAACATGGAGAAGCAGCGTTCAGTTATTATGCTCCAAATATCTGGAACAAACTCCCAGAAACCTGCAGGTCCGCTGCAACTCTTACTACTTTTAAATCCAGGCTGAAGACTTTTCTTTTTGCCGCTGCTTTTAATTGATATATTCATATCTTAAACTGCACTGTAACTTTTATTATCTTTGCTTTTTAATGCCATTTTCTGAATGTCTTTCATTTTTGTAAAGCACTTTGAATTGCCTCCCCCAAAGGTAGTTAAAGTCATTATTGGGGTTAAAGTCCCCTCGTAGGTGGTTAAAGTCCCCTACGTGTGCCGTTTTGGTTTCAAGACCCTGGTTCGCGGAGGACACCAAAAAGTCCTAGAAAAGACAACTTAAACTTAACTAATGTGCATTTAAAGAAAAGAGGAATAGCTTTGGCGAAAACTAAAAAGGTACCATGGGGTACAGGAATCCGTTTTGGTTTCAAGACCCTGGTTCACGGAGGACACCAAAAAAGTCCTAGAAAGACAAGGTAAACTTAACTATGTGCATTTAAAAATAAAAAAGAGGAATAGTTATGGCGAAAACTAAAAGGTACCATGGGGTCAGATTATAATTTTCCAAAGGGGGGTTCGTTTAGCATGAAACAATTGAAATAACTAAAGGACAAGTTAAACAAGAAAACAAAGAAAGAAAGGGAGGTCATAGAAAACTATTTCTGCTAAAAAGTCAGCAATGATTGTGAGTCAGACCTAAACATTTCAGATGTGTGTATCTCACACTGCTGTAACTTTTATTCATGTATCTTTGCTTCTAAATGAGTGTTTTTAGATATCATTTTATAATATGTTTCTTAATGCTATTAATGTCTTTCATTTTTGTAAAGCACTTTGAATTGCCTTGTGTTGAAATGTGCTATATAAATAAACTTGCCTTGCCGTGTGTGTGTGTGTGTGTGTGTGTGTGTGTGTGTGTGTGTGTGTGTGTGTGTGTGTGTGTGTGTGTGTGTGTGTGTGTGTGTGTGTGTGTGTGTGTGTGTGTGTGTGTGTGTGTGTGTGTGCGCGCGCACACAGGAGTTAAACCAGGACTTTAGTTTTGCATTAGAAAAAGAGGGGACGGTCTCAGCTTGTAATTTACTGTGGGAATCCAAGGAATTCTGATTCATTCAATATTTGGCAACCTTCATGTACATATGAATATGTTAGAGGTTTCTTATGTAATAAAAATGTGAATTGTTATGAACATTATCTCGTGTGGTAGTAGTTGTTAAGCACTTATTTTTTCCCTGCCATCTTCTCTTTGGTAAACTCTAGACGTCGTTTGACATGGAGGAGAGGTAACTGCTTTTCATTATTTCTCCAGTGGTTTTTGCTTTTCTCTGTTTGATGTTTTAGCATTTAAGTTGACTTGAAATCATTTCTGTTTTGTTCTGTTTTTTTAAGTGTGAAGAAAGTTTTAAATCCCCTCAAAAATATCATCTCCAGATCAACCACCCAGCAAACAAACCCAGGTGAAGACAATAGCAGGAAAAAGATAAAAAAGGTAACGTGAATGCAGTGACCAAACACATATGTATAATGTGAGGTTCATATATCCGCATTGATCAAATCCTGCAAACAAAATGTTTCACATCACTTATATTAGCCTAGTGGCAGTTCTAGATCAATTTTACCAGGGGGTGTGCCATGCTGGTCCCAGTTATTAAATGAGAGAAGCACATTTAATGGAGGACAAAGGAGACAATGACAGGGTTCCAGAGTACAGCACTTAGTACACTGGCAACTAACCTAATAAAGTTATGGGACATTTATTGACATAATACATATAATTAAAGTCAACGGTTCACTTTTTTCAGTGCAAATGTACCCGTTAGTGACTATCAACATATGTAATTAATATTAACATTTCTGATCAACTGTATCTTTCCAAACTTTGCATTGAGGCTGACAGGAGCGTAACGTAACATTTCGCTTTTTTAATTTGATTGAAACAACATCATTTAAAATAAAAGCAGCACTGATCGAGGTTTTCTGTAACTGTCCAAGTCTGTTTACAGTTTATTTTCCATGAACAAGTCCTTAAAGGTGGGGTAGGTAAGTTTGAGAAACCGGCTCGAGATACACTTTTTGTTATATTCCATGGAATGCTCTTAACATCCCGATAGCAATGAATATCTTAAGTGCTTTGACAAAAAATCCATTAAAAAATGTCATCTGTGGAAGCCGTAATACTGTAAAAAGTACGACCAATTATTTTAGCCGGCCCGGCTAACATATAACATTGTATTGTTTTATTTGTACACTGACTCAGATATAATGAAAAGACTACGAAGCTCAGCTTTGGTAAGGAAGAGACAGGACAGGCAGAGAGAAAGAGAGAGAGAGAAAGTGATGGAAGTCAGGGAGGAACTGCAGGTACAGTCACACAAAAGAATGTAGGCTTAATAACCCCTTCTATCTATCTATCTATCTATCTATCTATCTATCTATCTATCTATCTATCTATAACAATAGTCTTAATTTACACTATAGACAATAGGCATCATTTTAAAACAACATATATCTATTGCAGTTATGATGTCATAATAACATACAATTGTATAAAACCACACAATTTGCTTACATCTTTGTTCTCTTTTGAGAATCAAACAAAACAGATTTAAATAAAATAAATAATGCAAACAAACAAGTGAAATTAACTAAATGGCTGAATTGCTTTTAATTCACTGGCAGGAGCGACAAGTGAGAAGGAGCAACAAGTGAACAACGAGGGAGAGATTGAACAAAGAGAAAGAGTAGAGGACAGAGAGAGTAATGAACAGGAAGAAGACAGAGAGACTAAAGAAGATGGAAGAGAGGGTGCAGGTTGGAAAGGAGAGAGACATGGAAAATGAATGTTGACAATGTTTTGTGATCATTTTAGCCTCTTCTGCATGTCCAGATCATTAATAGTAACAATCAACGGATTCTTATGCATTACACTTTCAAAAATAATTTATGCTGCAGCCCACTGACATGGTTTGAAATCAATATATTATCCAATTTGTGACCCCCCACAGGACTTAAAAAGCACCTAACTACTGTAGATCATGAAAATCCCAAAAATCTCAGGGGGGGTATACCCCCGAACCCCCCTAGCATGTTTGGACCTCGGTATTTAGGAAATCCTGGATACGGCCCTGGGAGAAGTAGTTATTTAATTTAATCTGGCTTGATTAAAAGTAACACGATCGTCGACCCGGCGCATTGTTGTTGTTGTGAGCGTCGTTGGGGAGAAAATCAGCGACGTAAACAGTGACGTCATGATGACGCAGCAGCGGCAGCACCAGTCGGGCTCTGGGCGGTGTGAACAAAACGGGGGCTGAAAATAAAAACCGGTTCCCAACCAGAAGAGCGCAAGCACGGAGCTAGAACGGGAACCGCGTTGGTGTGAAAAGGGCATGAGAGATATTTGGTTAAAAAGAACACAATGGTGCTCTAGGAGGATATTCAGGTGATAAGGTGGGGAGGTGTTACCTTGGTTGGTGATTGGCTAATGGTTACACAAGCCAACAAATCGTTATGACATCATAAAGTGGCCAAAATCTGATCAGCTCATTTTCAGACAGGTTTTTATATAAATGGATCAGGACAAAAAGTCAGCGAATCTTTTTTCCTGAAACTTTCAGAGTCTCTTTACACAGAGGGGACACATGTTGATGAAGAAAAGACACGAAAAAGTGGATTTTGCATAATAGGTGACCTTTAACACATCATTGGGTTTACCCTCAGAACAGTTAGCTGTGCCCAGTCCCCAGCAGCTAAATGTGTGCATTGTGCGTTCCTGCACATCACAGATCTGTTTAATACAGTAGTACAGACCTTCAAGGACTATAATGAACGTGGCTAAGGAGGATCAAGAAAGAGAAAGGAAAAGAGGTTAAAAGACATCAGATAAATCACCAGAAGAAGACAGACAGGAAGTAAACAATAACAGGAACACGGAATGGGCTTTGTAGTGTTTAAGGACTTGTTAGTGGATCAGAAACTGTGAACAGAGTTAGACAGTGCTGCCGTAAAGTTGTTGTCACAGTTCCAGCTGTTGGTGCGCCGTGGAACTGAGTTTTGTTTTTCTTAGCGGAAGAAATACGATAATTTTTAAGTCAATAAAATAATTTCAATCAATATTGGGAGTCGATTCTTTAGTTTGTTTAGTATATGGCCGTGTAATAAGCGGGATAATGTGCAGCGATGCGGTCATTATGGGGAAAAGAACACCAGGTTTATTAATCTACCCGCACAATTTTTCTCTGGTGTCGGAATGTCTCGCGATGTTGGTGAATTCTTAAAAACATAAACACCACTTAATTTCGGGTTAAAATGTGTTGCAACGTGCGTTACTGAGAATTGTAATGGGTATTATATTACCCAAATTTCATTAGTAATGCGTTACATTACTGCGTTACAGCAAAAAGTAATACATTACTGTAACTCCGTTACTTTTGTAACGCGTTACACCCAACACTGGTTATTAAGTATTAACAAACTCTGAATTTTCCAAATTGACCAATCAGAATCAAGTCCTCAACTAAGCCGTGTAATAATTGCTATTATTGGACTTATTCAACAGGTCGCTGTATCCTACTGGACCTTGAATGTCACCATACTGAGGGCAGAAAGCGTTTGCTCCTTAGATTACTGTAAGTTATACTTTCCCATTACATGATTTCTAAGTAAAAAAATGCACTTTGTAAATTATGTTTAATCGCTTTTTACATCATTATGACTTATTAAGTATTTTTCATGAAACTGACACACACACTAGGTAGTATTTTCTAATTGAATTAACAGAAATGTTTCCTGTCTCTGTGTTACAGTTTCTGAATCTGACTGCTATGTTATTCTCACTCTTCCTACGGCAACGGCAACAACCTACCGCACAGCAGCAGTGAGGAACAATAACAACCCAGAGTGGAATGAAACTTTTACATTTAGGGTCCCCACAAAAGTAAAAGTGAGTCTAGTCGATATCTGACACCATCACAGTGATCCATCCCTCCTGGAAAGAACAAGTTCACCCTATCTTTCCTCACTCGTTTTCATGTTACGTTAAATAACCTAATAACAATACAACCTGGCTTTTTTGTTGCATTTCTAACTGCCACTAACTCATTTTGAAGAGTCAAACGTGTCAGTAACTCCTCTGCTGTTTTTCCAGAACATTTTAGAGTTCATGCTGTATGATGAGGATACATGGTCACCAGATGACCTGATCTCCACACTTCAGTTTGATATAAAAAACCTCACAATAGGGCAGAAAGAGACCAAGGAATTTGTCGTACACGCTGAGGTAAAAGCAACAAGGAAACACAGAAAACTCCCCTTCAACCCTTCTTCTGTAGCATTTTAAAATACATGGAACTGATCTGAACTTGATCCCAAGTAGAAAACAGTTTTCTGTATGTCAAGTTGTTGCTTATTTTTGTAGTGAGTATTTACAATGTGGTTAAATGTTATTTCCATGTCCTCTTTTCTTTATAGACAGAGGCCAAACTTCTAATAACATTTGAGTTACTTCAGAGGTAACTAACTGTATATTGCATTTTCTAATTGGTTATTTCACAAAGTATTTACATTTTCTCTTGAGTCCTTATAATACATTGTCTGTTTGGGTTTGAAATGAATAATGTGTGTCTTTTTATAGTGAGGACCCCCCTTGTGATTATTTCACAAATGACATCCTTCTGGTAAGACCTTTGACATGATGTCAGCATTAACACCTAAATTAATACATTCAGGAACAAGCCCTCCTTTCCCCACCCTTTGAACCCCTGGAGCAGGCAGAGCTTAAATGGCTTTCGGCAAAGGTTGCTTTTATTTTAGCGATGGCATCAGCCAAGCGTGTGAGTGAGCTTCACGCCTTGTCAGTGAGTGAAACTTGCATACGCTGTTACTCACTTGGCACAGGGGTGGCCCTTTGGCCTAACCCATATTTTCTACCAAAGAGGCTGCCTTCGGCCCACTTAAATCAGATCATAGAGCTAGCAGCCTATGACTCCTCAGGCTTGCAGAACGTGGAAGCTGCTTCGGCAGAGCACGCACTGTCCAAACAGAGGCTTTCTAGGTGGATTGTTGAGGTGATTGAAGAGGCATGCAGATCAAGAGGTCTGCCTTTGCCTCTTAATGTTAGGGGCCACTCCACCAGGAATGTGTCAACCTCCTGGGCAGCACTACGAGGGGTACATCTAAGTGAGATTTGTAGCTGTCTTTCAGGAACCCTCAGGCCGCTCCCTGTAAGGTGGGTACTGGATTCCTCGTGACTATGTTGGTAATAGTCATCCAGTGTTAAGCACTGCCTCTGGCGGTCAGTAGAAATGAAGTAGAACGATAGTTACGCATGTAACTACGGTTCTATGAATTCTGGATGACTGCCAGAGTTCTCTGTCACTCGGAATCTTGGCGAGAAGATTCCCTTGATACATTTCTGATGGTGACGTGGGCTGTTATAGGCGGGGCTGCCCTACGTCACCCCAGGTCACATATGACTTTGTTGATATTAAATACTCGACTTGCGCATGCACGAGCTGGATAATATCCAGTGTTAAGCACGGCCTCTGGCGGTCATCCAGAATTCATAGAACCGTAGTTACATGCATAACTATCGTTTTGATTCGATTCAGAGTCCTGGTATAGAGACAGCAATGCAGTTTAGCTTCCAACTGGAATTGCAAAAAGCAGTTAAGTGCAGAATACAGAATAATATACATATTATCCACCATAGCATACTTTGAGCTACAGAAACCATTCCAACATATATTTAGCTATTAAAGGCAACAAGGTGTAAGAATTTTGTTTGTATACCTTTTATACTTTTTATTAAGCTTTTTTGAATATTAAGCTTCTTCACTTTTTTTCAACTCTGCTAGTTTGACATTTCACCTTCATGTTTTCCAGCAGGAAATGGATTTTTCAGTTTGAAAATATCATTGTACACATCTGCAACATAAGTCACCTGCAGCAGGCAGTATAACAGCATTCACACTAAATAGTGAAGAAGCTTAATATTTAAAAGAAAAGGTTTAAAAAAGGTATAAACAACATGTATAGCCTCAATGTCCTGAAATAACTGAATAATGTAATAGTTGAATGGTTTCTGTAGCTGAAAGTAGGCTGAAGGAGTTAGATATTAAATGTAAGTAGTAGTGAATGAATGTGTATTAAGAAGAGAAAAGAAAGTAAAAACACTTTGAAAAGCAGCAGAATATTTTAACTGCAAACTTTTGAACTAAAACTATACGTCACCAATAATGTATAAAATATGTGGAACATGTTGAAGTCAGTATGAAGTCTCCATCAGACAGAAAAGAATAGGCTGAGACAGTCTGTTAAACTCCAGTCTGTGTGTTTGTGTTTGAGGTGACGACGTTATCAAACACCTGAGTGTGAGCCCAGAGATCAAAGGTTTCCATGGAGATATGCAGTGAAAGGAGAGCTTTTCCATTGTTCTGAATGAGAAATAAACCTCTTACATTTCTAACTATAGTTAAAAAACGGTAGCTGCTATCGGTAAAATGTCAACGCGTGAAGCATTTCAGGACCCTGAGGAGCATCTGAGTCTGCTTTTTGTGTACTTTCGGCTCAATAATGTAGCATTTTTGGCAGATTTACTAAAGGTGTGCAGCTGGTGCTGTGATGAAAAATCAGGCTGAATTTACAATGGGCCTTAATGGAGACATGTTGAAAGTTTTTGTCACTTCATGCCCTCAAGAGGCATTTTCTTAAAGTTCTTTGCTTAGAATGTTTTTATTTTTCAACCTAAGAGAGGTTTTCTTACAATTCAAGCATACAATTATGTCCCAGGATTGTAGGGTTTGGGAATTATGGCAGTTTTAAAAACAAATGTTAAGGCGAATTTCAAGCTCTCCTCCACTCTAGCTGTGACATCACGCACTCTAAGCCTTAACGACCTGCGCAATACACACTAATGTTAAAATCTGAAGAAGGCCTCTTTACCAAGCTCCAAACTAAGTTAAATATCTCAAAAACTGTAAAAGATCAAGAATCTGAATACAAGTTTAATAGCTGAATGTCTTGTGATCATTTTAAAGTTGGAATGCTGAAAGTATGTGGAAGGAGTAGCATTTTGCAAACAGTGTAGCTAAAAGCGGATTTGAAGGTTCCTCCCATTGAGTTCCATGTTAAAAAAAGAGTTTAAAAAGCTGAATATTTAAAAAAGTATAACATATTTTGAAGAAGTTGAAGGTTTCCCATCATGTGCTGAAAAGGCTGAATAGTTTGGTATTTGAATGGTTTCTGTATCTGAAAGTAGGCTGAAGTTATTCGAGGGCAAAATATTGGGTGAAATAATAATAAGAAGAAGAAGCAGAAGAATAAAGAAACAGAAGAACTATAGTGGAATGCTGTAAACAGCATTCGCACTAATAATCTCTTTGTGTCTTTCAGGCGGCTCCGTTCTCTGCACTGGAAGTTGACGTTCAAAATCTACAAAGGCATGACTGTAAGTAGGCTACAATAATGTTCTATCCTTCAGATTGAATTTATCACTGTAACAGTCCTGTTTGCAAAATGTTTTTTCATCAATTGGAAGACGGATTCAGATGACCTTCACAGATATAAGAAATGTATTGTCATCAAATTCATAGGGATAGCGAAAGGGAAAATTATCTTATGGATGGCCAACATTACCATTTAAACTGCTCTAATCAATATTATAACATTAGCATTAATTAGCATTAATGTGAGAGATATAACTATAGAATCCCTACGGAGCCCCTAAAGGGACATGGACAAAAAAAGAGAGAGAAAAAAAAAAGTCGGGATAATGAGAAAGTAAAGAAACTAACCCGTTATCCCGACCTTTTTATTTTTTATTTTGAGAAAGTTACCGGTGTGCCATGTAGGAAGGTGAGCACGCAGGAGACAACCATTTAATTGCAGACTGTTATGTTTACGTGGGGAAAGGACAGTGCATACATTATTTGAGATATATTTCGAACTCAGACTTAATTTTAAGGACATTTTCGGCCAGGGCTGTGTGGTTCAAATGTAGCAGCCTGCGGTAACTCCAGGAGGCAGCGGGACGTGTAACCCAGCAGCCTCTGCAGCACCAGCGGGCAAAGAGCTGTGCCTTTTACGCACCGCCTACACTGTGTTTACCTTCATTAGAACAGCTAAAGAGTGACCGCAGGCTGCTACGTTTTAACCACACATACCTCTACACACACACACACACACCTACACACATCGAACTGCCCGATTACTCCCCCTTTTATTAGTTTTATGAAGGAGATGGTCACCAGGGGGCATGATGTGAGTCTGTTTGTGCTCTGCTCAGCTCCGCTCTGTGTGTATGTGTTCTGAGTGTTTGTTTCCCTATAAAACAGCTGCAGGCAGCAGGTACTCTGAGAGTCACGGACATGAATTCATAGATCAAGGCAGACTGGTTTACAGACTCTCCTGTTTTGCCAATCCGGTGCTTAAACAAATAGCTCTACACCCCTGGCCGAAATGTCCTTAAAATTAGGTCTGAGTTAGAAATATATCTCAAATAATGTATGTCATTTCCCCACGTAAACACAACAGGTTGCAATGAAATGGTCTTCTCCTGTGTGCTCCACTTCCTCCATGGCGCACCGGTAACTTTCTCCACAAAAAAAAAAAGTTGGGATAATGGGTTAGTTTCTCGTTTCTTTTGTCTCTGTCTCTTATAAAAAAAAATGTCCATGTCCCTTAAGGAGCTCCGTAAATCCCAGATGTGAATTGAAACTCTAGTTTCTAATTCCCCTCAACTGTACGGGGCGTTTCAGCATCATCACATGTAGGTTGGTCTGAAAACCCTTTAACTTCACTGCTGTTGTTGGCCACTCTCAACAGCAGCACACAGCTGTTTTAGCTAAGGCAGGGGTCTGCCACCTTTTTGACCAAAAGAGCCATTTTGCCCCCTTTTCCACCAATTGTTTTTGCCTGGAGCCGCAAATCATATTTGATAGCTTGATAGCTTATGAAGTTGTATATATTGTTACATCAGACAAAAACTACAGTTTTTTTGCATTTATTATTTATTACATTATAGAAAACTGTTTACCTCTAATAATAAACAAAGAACTCTTATAAGGACAATAAAAAAAAATACACAGGCCTACTTTAAAATAAATCAACACAGCACTTGGGGAATCACAGCCCATTCATTTCGCCTTTCTTTCATGCTTTGCAAAGAAAAAGCAACCTCTTAATATCTTTTGGCTTTATTTTCAACGTTTTTATGTTATGCTTTGGAGAGAGTGTGTAAAAGGCGTAAAGGACCAAAATGCAGACACTCACTATGACTCGCACATGCATGCACGTGCACGGTTGTGGCATGACCACCAAAACAGAAATATATGGACAGATATGTGTGCAAATGTATTTAGTGTCCTATCCATGTGGACATGAGTTAAAGCATCAATCTGGTGCACTTTGAGAGCAAAATTAAGTGATCTATGGATACATCTCTCAACACCCATATGAAACAGAACGGTAAACAGATTTATTTTTCTTTATGGATATTTTACAAATCACTCCCCTTTTAAACTGTATTCTTGTTTATTAAAGGTAGGGTAGGTAAGTTTGAGAAACCGGCTCGAGATACACTTTTTGTTACATTCCATGGAATGCTCTTAACATCCCGATAGTAATGAATATCTTAAGTGCTTTGACACAAAATCCATAAAAAAATGTCATCTGTGGAAGCCGTAATACTGTAAAAAGCACAACCAATCATTTTAGCCGGCCCGGCTAAAATAACTGGATGGCCTACCTGCCTGTCAGCCTTCCATCTGTGCACAAACTTATCTCGTGCCCTCATTGGTCATGTGCGTGTGTGTTGGAGGAGGGGCTCTATAAGGAAGTGGCAGATTTTCTCCGGTTGTGTATTTTCAAATTCTAGCGATCTCGAGCCGGTTTCTCAAATTTACCTACCCCACCTTTAATAACAACTTTTTTTTACTGTCATATAGTATTTTATACCTGTTTTTCATTTATTCTCTTATTTTTAACTATAATGATCATATAAAGGTGGCCTTTACCTCACTGAGCTGAGGTTATCAGAGCCTCTCAGTCTCTCAGGAGAGAGAGAGCTCTCTTCCACCTGGTTGTAGAAACAGCTCCTTATATTCGTTAGCATAGCTAGCTAACCAGATGCTAACAACAACAATCCCCCCGGTACCGGCGCGCTCTCTCTCTCTTGCTCGCTCGTGCCACACAAACAGAGCCGAGCTTGAATGACACACAGAGACCCAGAAGTACTTGTACTGTAATGTAGCATATTCTTTTTGATGGCGTTATTGTATGATCATATGACATATGAACAGATCGCCACTGGGCTTACAACTAAAGACACAGCCACGCAAAAAACGCAGCATGTGTACGGCTCCTTATGTGTACTGCAATTTTTCAAGTGCCGGAGCGGCGTTCCGGTGCGTTTCGGCAGCACTACACCCCTGGACGTAACATGATATATACCACGTGATGACACGTTACGGTCGTTTTGTGTTCAAGGAACCTGACATTGGCCAGGAAAAACAGGCAGTCGCTTGTTTAATTCTATTGCGGTCTAGATTTCTTTAATTTTTTTTATTGCAGTTGATCGTTTTTTTTTTGCGTGTGTTTATAAATTACCTCGAGGGCCGTAACAAATGGTCTCGCGGACCGTATACGGCCCGTAGGCCGGAGGTTCCGCACCCCTGGTTTACAGGATCTGCGTTTATCACAATTCTTTGCTTCTGTTGAAGCCACAAAGAATTGTGGGACAGCATTACCTACCATGCTCTGGTAAAGGATGGTCTTGTGCAGGGGGGGGCAACCCGCGGCCCTTCAACCCCTCTGCAGTGGCTCCCTGTAGCTTTGACCAAACATAACTTGGCAAAAATGAACAGCTATTTTAGATTTTGGTTGCACATTGTTTATTGAAAAGGATAATCTTTTATTTTGGAGTATGAGGTGATATTGTGACACTGAAATAATATTATTATTTTATAAGCTATATGCGTCACGTCCTTCTACACCTATATTCTGGCGCTTTACGGGGGTGGCTAATCCTACATTTGAGACCCATATAGAGTATACATTGATAAATCCAAAAAAGTCACAAATTAAATAGAGAATCAAATTCTGCGTGTGGATTCCTTTCCTTTTACTGCCAAGAATGCTGGCTTTCATGCATGCATATATTGTGAGAAATTAGCAACCAAAAAACATTTAATTTCGAAAGACATTTCCAGAAAAAGCAGACAGCATCAGCTGCTCCCTCTGTTATAACAAGTAAAAATATCAATAGATTTTCAACATCTTTTACTTTATTCTTTTACTTTTTGTATAGTATAACACCATATATAATATAAAGCTTTATAAGCTGTGTTAACAAATATTTTTTGCGGCTCCAGATAAACTATATTTGGTGGCAGAGGAGGCAAAGATAATTGATAATAAATGAGCTGACCCCTGGACTAGTGTATACTTTGCTAAAAGAGTTAACAAAGGAAGAATGAACCTCCTTTTCTATCATCTTCAAACAGCTCTTATCATGGCTGCCAGGTTCTTCCGGGTCATTTCACTCTGTTAGGAACCTTCCTGAGCAACAAGACTGTTCGACTGGAGGCAGCAGCAGCAAACAGGAGAATGTTTTGTATTTCAAAACAAATCAGAATGTTACAGTACTTGCCAAGAATTTGAACTTGTATCCATCTATAAATCCAGTGTGAGTGAAAGTGAGCAATACAGCCTTAGTGTAGCTGTTCAGCCTTTTTTAAGTTTACTGACTAATGACTTTACTATAATGAGAACTATTACTTTTGACTTGTCAAGCTTCATATACATTGTTATGTATATAATGTATCAGCTTTTAGGAACAAGGTCCTGAAACTAAGGGGTGCCTATCCGGAGAATCATACATTTAATGGAAAGGAAACCTGCAAACGTTTCTACATCAACAGAGACTTGGAGACAGAACTTGGAGTCGCAGTAAGTTTGAATTGTAATTTAAATGTCAATACGTTTTAAATGTTAGACATTAGTGTAAGGTGTTCCTTTTCAACTCTACTTACATTGTATCTTTGTAAGGTTGTGTGTTCTTATTTTTGGAATGTTATCCTCTGCTCCTTTATGAAGTCCATTGAAAGTGTATCTTTGTGGAGTTGTGCTGAGAGCCAGTGGTTGGCTTTGCTTCTCCAAGCGATCTTGCAAGCTTGTTGTGATTTATAGCAAAATAAGGTTAAAGACTTTTATAACTAAATTAGAACATTGAAGTTTACCTATGGACTATATAATACCAGGTGAGATGTATTAATATAATATTGCACAACAACCCCCCCCCCCCTTCAAAATCAAATGTGTTTCTAATTATTAAACATCACAGTGTGAACAAATATAAATAATTGTTATCCTGGTATTTAGTATTGTAAATACAAGAGGCACTTTTTAGGAAATGTGACACTGCATTAAAATCAATGTAGTTTCATAACCATTAACATATTCCAGACTGTTCGGTTCAACCCAGTCAGACTCAGTAAAAGTGGAAGATAATATTAATATTTCACATTTTTACAGAATGTTTTTGTCCTCTAACGACATCAGAGAAATGTTTCCAAAGGGATGCAGAAGAGATTAACAAACTAGTGAGGGAGGAGGGAATTAAGTAAGGAAAGAAGTGAACAAAACACTTTCCACGTGTTATTCTTCTTTTAATACTTAATAGCAGCTTTCTTCCACAACAACTGCCACAAGCTCATGCCTAACTCAAAGACTGTATAACATGACATGTTTTTTTTCTCTGTGTGTCAGCACTCTGAGGACACTGTACATCCAATGGAAACTTCTATACATCTCCAGCCACTACAACCTAACCATAAAGGCAAAGTGTCCCTTGTTATTGGTCAGGTAAGAATTTTCACTATAGCTGAAGTTAAAAGGTGAGCTGATATGTAACAAATGCTAATTATGTAGCAACAAACATAAACCATTTACAATTGAAACTGAGATAGAGAACTGTTGAATTCATTTACTGCAAAGATGTCTTTCAAATCATTTATATGATTTAATTTGAATGTAATAATCCCCATAAAGCTATTGCAGTATGTGGATCGCTTCACTCTCTGACTGACCTGCCATTGGCCAAGTTACCCTGGTGTTTAAGATAACAGTAAACCTGTACATAATATTGCTCGCTAGTTTAATTTGTATTTGTTTTTATATTAATGTCACATTTTCTATTCACAGGAAGAGATCGAATTGCACTTACATACACATGACGGGTAAGGGACCTTTTACTTTCAGTATAAAGTATAACCAAAAGTATGTTGACACCCAAATATGTTGAGCTCCTAATTCCAAAAGCATGGGCATTTAGCCTCCTTACTGTAATCCAGACACATTTGATAAAAATTGTTATTGACGTGCACTCAATGATGATAAATGTGAATAGTCTTTTCTTTAGACCCAATCATAAGTCTTAACGGACTGTCAAATTTTTCAACAACAAACTGGAAAACTATTTGTTTATGAACCTGACATTCTGCACAGTTTTATTGTCATGTTGAAACAGGAAAGGGACACATCAAAACTTTTGAAAATCTTTAGAACACTATTGTCTAAAATGTAAATGTTAGCAGTAAAATGTCCCTTATTGGAACTAAGGGGCCTCAACAAAACAATAAAAGCAGCCCCAGACCAAAGGTATATGGACAGCTGACCTTGGCCAACATGGATGCAGTGAGTGCTCGGGGTGCAACACATTCTCAACCACAAGACCTCAGTGAAACAATACTTTAGCTTCATGTTTTGTTACACACACTTTACCTTGTAAATCCACAGCACGGAGGAAACTTTTGGAGTTCGTCTGGACTTTGACATTCCATCTCAAGAGAAAGAGTTTCTGAAGAAGAGGAAAGATGTGGTGGCACAGGCTTTGCAGAACTTTTTAGGCCTTGGCTCTTTACCTCAACCTAACAAGGTACTGTAGAGTGCAACTCTCTCACATCGTTACTAATGCCTTTGTGTTGTCTCCTACCCAATGTCAATTTGCTTACAATTTTGCTAATTGTTGCGTGAGACATTATATTCAGCAGAGGTCCCCACGTTTGCAGTCAACCAAAGTAGTTTGTAAGCATCATCTTAACTAGTTGTAATGGACAGAAAAAACACACGACCACATTTCACTGAGTTTGGCCTGGAGAACTGACCGTTTATTTCTGCGCATGCTCATTAGCATCACCACGCTTCTTTCACACTCAGGCACGCTCTGATGATGTCATATACACATGAACGGAAACATGACTTTGTTCTTATTCAAATATGCTTAACATTCCCACTCAAAGACATGTTGATAACTCTCTACAGTGGTACACAGAATCCAATAAACAAAACAAAAAATGTCTCTAGCAGTGTTCAATTTTTACATCTGCAATTCACATTACTCTCCAAACAAATACCCTTTGAACTTTTCAAATGTAGCCTTTGTCAACGGCTTGGTTAGGACAAGAGCTACCATATCTGCAGTAGGACAATATGTAATAGATATCTTCCCCTCAGCATGTGCAGATCGTACAAATTATATTTGATGTCTACATGCTTGCTTCTCTGTCTGCATACAGGGTTTTTGGATTGAGCTATTGCTCCCTGGTTGTCCTCATATATCTTTACTGGTACATGTGGGCTATTACGGTCTACCCATTTTAATAACTGTACAAGGTACATGCTCTCTTGAGTAGTAGCCGCTAATGCCATGTACTCGGCTTCACAGGTCGATAGCGCCACTGTTGGCTGTTATTGGCCGCTATAAGTAGGTAATCTACCCATATCAACAGAATGACTCTTTCGTTCTCAGACTCTTTGCTGTAGAGTGTAGACACAATGATCAGCATCATTTTGCACAAACCCATTCTCTGTAAGATGATCATGCAGTAACTTGTTCCAGTTTCGCCCGGATTGCTTTAAACCAGCGTTTCTCAAAGTGTGGGGCTCGCCCAAATAAAGCAGGTTAAAATAATTAGATTGCATACATTTTCTTTTAGTAAACACTGAAAACAGGTCCCACAGACCCAAACAGCACACAAAGGTTAAAGGTAAGCATATAATAATGTTAAAATGTGCTAAATATATACACTGCAAAAAACAAAAAAAGAGGAGAAAAAGTTGCTCACGACTTGTTATATTTTTTTAAAGTAGCCCTCATCCTAAAAAAGGTTGGAGACCCCTGTTATAGAATGATACATTTGACCATTTTAAGCTTGGCCTACCATTTTATTGGAGCGATGAGGAACAGGTGGGGCTTGAAAAGGCCCACTTGTTCAAAGTGGGGTTTTATTTATGTATTATAAAACCATACAATGACTTGTTGAGTTTGCACACTAAGTGTTCCCCTGTTTTTGATTTTGCCTCAAAACCTTCGGGCTGTTCCATATATAACTCGCAGTCTATTGGTGCATGGACAACCCAGTCTCACGGCATTTCGTGTTATAGTCACGACATAGTCCCCTTTTTTTCGTGTCACACAGAACGATTTTAAAAGCAATGTATTTCTATTGGTAGTATGTTTCGTGCCTGCAACACGTCTTTTTGTCCGGGTCTTGGAATACCGGAAGCTGTGTGGTTCATAAAAACATTTTCTTACTCAATATCAAGCCACGATTATTGTTTTTATTTTTAATTCTATAATTTCTGACTTTTTTTGCTGTCCGTGAGGAAAATAAATGGGGCTCAGAATACTGAAATATGTATTTTTAAATCTTTTTTTCCTTCTAATTTGTTATTCTTTTCTAAATAACACACTGTTATTTACTCAACAATAACACACAATTATCCTTGTTTTTATTTATTTGTTTGATTCTATAATCTCTGGGTTTTTTGCCGTCCATCAGGAACTGAATTTCAAAATAAACTATCAACAAAATTGCGTTGCCAGACAACAGCTTCGGGTGAAAACAGTATTTCCGGTCTCGAAGTTTTCATAGTAAAACCGAAAGTATTCCCCTCACTGTCAACTAAAAACATCAGTTTATCCAACATTGATTGGTTTAAATTGTGTACAATGCTTTTGTGTTTTCCCCCTTCGATTCGGAGAAACAAATAGTTTTTTCGGAGTTTAGGATGGCCGAAGACACTACACTACCCATAATCCTCAGCTAGCGTTTGGGACTACAGTCCCTTTGCTTGACAAACCCCGTGATTAGTCTTCAAGCTCTGTGATTGGATGTTCCAACATGTTCTATGGCATATCTCTACATGGAATTGTAGTTTTAAAAGACGTTTTCGTATTTCCCATAATTATAAGTTGCCAGTATTAAACTGTGTACACCCCTGGAGGTTTAGGAAACACATTGGTGTTATCAAATTTAAAACATATACTTAATAAATGGGTGGAAATTGCCTGTGTCTATAATGGGCAGCATTAATATATACCCACATGACAGCTCAGGTCAGAAGAGCTTTATTTAATAGCTGGTCTTATGTCTGTGACCCCTCCTGTTGTTAATTGATAAGCCTGAACAGTGGCGTTTTTATATGTACAAAAGTGGTGGGGCACAAAAAACTTAGATGTCTATATATAAGCTTCTGCTGTGACGTGCAGTGAGGTTCATGGCTGGTGAGGCACTGGCACTGACTCTTCAGGTTTACAAATATTATATTTTGACCTAAACCAAAATATAATATTATTTTCAAAAGCTTTTTTTGTCTGATGCTTCGATTAATTTTAAACAGACAGTTCAACAAAAGGATACCCAAAAAATGTAATTTTATCATTTAAATATTGAATTGTTCTCTCTTAGTAAGATCCCATTTTCAATAAAATTGCGGTCTTACCTTGACTTGAAGATGAAGTCCATTTGCCTATCCTTCTGGACAAATATCTCTATTACCTTTTTGTAAAAGTCCTCCTTATCTTTCAAAAGTCTATCATAAATCTAAATAGATGGATTTATGATTCAAAAATTATAAAAGTAGGGTAGACATGTGGATATTATCCGGCTGAACAAAACGTGCATTTATCTAACAGGTACGTTTCCCACAGATCTTATTTCGAGCTATTTTCTAAAATCCTATGGAGAAATCTCATTGCTTTTTTGTCGAGGGAAGCCATGCGCAGCTTACTTCCTGGTTTTAGGACGCGTCACTGCACCTCTCTCGTCTCCTCTTCACACACCACACTTTTCGCGGCACACGTACTTACAGCCAATCAGCTCTGAATTATGTGAGATGACGTATGGTGGGGATGGCAGCTCAGTGCCCCTATGGTCATTATTTTGTTGCCACACACATTAAATAGGAAAATACTCTGAGCATGCGCAGTGTAGTTTTTACAGTCACCATTCAGTTAGACAGTGAGAGGGAGGGGCATGATCAGGTTTTGTCCCACATGGCTCTAAACAGCTCAATAGGCACACACTGTGCACTAATTAGAAGAACACAGACTAAAACAGCAATGTACAGACGAATCAGATGATTAAACATGATCTTAAAATATATTTTATATTTTTTTTAATATTTTTTTTGCATTTTTTGTAATCATTATTTGTAATACTTTCTGCTGTCACTAGATTAGGGTGTGGCCACTTTGATGGACAGGTACGTGCCTCACTGTCAGCTAACAGCAACTTGTCCACTCTGCTAGGCTACAACGTTAGTTAGTTGTAGTTACTGTACTTGACCCTTTAGCCGTGTTCGTGGTGATTGTGCCTTTTAGGGAATATTGTTACAAATACCAGACAATTAAAATGTCGTGCTGTGCGCTTGAATGTACTAACAGAACTTCCAAGAAGTCTAAAATGATAATATTATACATGTTAACCCCGTTAGCAGGTGTTTGTGTGCTTGTTAGCTTAGCTTGTTATGTAGCTTATTAGCCAGCTAAGGACGTAACCCTTTATATATATATATACAGTTTAGTTTATGATTCAGCCTTGGGTAAGACTTTTATAGTATATGGCTATGACGCCCATAATGCTAAACGGGAGCAAATGTTAAAAGGGGACCCAATTATCCCAGTGGTGGCCGCCGGAGCTAACGGAGCCGCAGGGGGCTAGCTCCAGCCGGCGTCCAGCTGCAGCCGGCATCCCGGAGCCCCCTGCGGCTCCGTTAGCTCCGGGCGGTGGAGTCCAGCGTTATAACTGGAGATCAAGGAATGCAGCGAAACGCGGACTTGGTTCGCCTGCAGCCCGCTGTAGTATTAGCTAAATAAATTATGTTGAACAAGGCTTATTAAGCTGAACATCGCCACAATCGTTCTGCTATGTATCGGTACTTCTTTTATTTTATTAACGTGATGACAAGCATTAAGAATAACAAAAAATAGCTAATTCTCTTGCAGAGTGTCTCGTTTGATTATGAATGTAACGTTTATATAGGGGAACTACACTGTTTTATCAAAACCAAAGTGCCACGCAGTAACTTGGTATGCATGTATTTCATGTTAGCTTAGCTTCTTAGCCTGAGCTAGCTCTGTTTACTTCCAGTTCGGAGGCAGCAGGTCCCGCCTCGGCTCCGCCTCTTTGCCCTTATTTGGAGCAGGCTGGAGCAGGCGGGAGTTAGACTCTGACGTCACTGTCGAGCCGTTAGTGGCCGACTCCGCCTACTAAGGGCTTCTCTGCAACTCTGCAGAATCCTATGGGTGACGTCACGGACACTACATCCATTTATATATACAGTATATGCCTGAAACATGCACTTGTCAAGGTTCAGAGGCACATTTTGCAAATATGGCAGTAGTCATCGATCATCTTAAGATAAGATAAGATAAGATAAGATGTACTTTATTGATCCCAAGTAATACACAGCAGCATGTAAAACATGCAATTTATTGTTACTTTGTAATTCTACTCCACTACAATTCAGAGGTTAACCTGGTATTTTTACTCCACTACATTTATTTGAGTTACTTTGCAGATTCTGATTAATGATGTGAAATATAAACAACCCTTAAATCAGACTTTAGTTACACCTGAGTAAAATTCAGGG